CGACTCTTTCAAGGGGGTGTGAGTTCCTAATTGTTACCACAGTATTTTTACATTTGCACTGAGGATGTGAAATCAATTGTGGGGCCCCAGAGGAAAATATTTAACATTATTTATTTAAACTCCCAGTGGGAGAATCTGCCCAGTATTATGATGCTAAATATGCTTTTTACCAAATTTCTTTACAGCCCTGAGTGACCCAGGCTGTATGTTATAGGCTAGCATTTTAATTTTTATCTTTTCAAAGTGTATAGCATTCTTCAGAGACCATATCAGAATTATCATACTGGAAACCCTACTAAGAGAACTGACTTTACCTTAAACACACCTGTCTAACTCCTTACTCTAAACAAAGTTGAAACATTCTAGCATTAAAAAAAGCAGACAGCTACTATCTCGACGCTGTAGATTTGGAAGTCAGTAGACTTTGGTTCAAATATCTTGCTTTTAATGTTACCCAGTAATTGGCAACTTAAGACTACCATATACTTGCTGTTTTCATACTTTCTTTGCTTTTTGTGACATGTCTATTCCTACAGGCACAGTTTCGCCTTAGTAAATGAGCATTATTGAAATGTTCGCCTTTTGTCTAAGCCTCACTGCTTTCTCAGTGTTCAGTTCCTTAAGTTTTACGCCTAAGTGCACATCCCATGTATTTTAGTATGAAAAGCTTTCCTGTAGATGTATATTTTCCTTTTCTCACTAGTTTTTCAAATTCTGTACCTTTCGCTAAATAATGATACTCCTATTAGAACTGGAGGCCTGATGGTGTAGTGGTTATGCATTAGGCTGCTAACAGGCTGGCAGTTCAAAAGTACCAGCTGCTCCAAGAGAGAAATATATCGCTTTTTTCTCCCATAAAGTGTTAGTCGTGGAAACCCACAGGGGCAGTTCTATACTGGCCATTGGGTCACTATGATTCAGAAACTATTCAAATGCAATGAGTAGTGATTAAGTAGTAGTATTAGAATTACCAATGTTTGTGGAAGTTACATAAATAATTTCTCAAGAAGTTGATAATACTGCCTCTAAAGTGGACCAGGGAAATATATAAACTGTAGAGATCAGAAAGGACTTTTGTGCTCACACTGAATCATAAACCCTCATCGAAGAACAATTAGTTCTGACAATGTGGCCCTGCTCAATTCTTGCCCTCATGAAGTGATTATTGAAGGAGGCTATGGAAAAGAGTGTGGTGAAGAAATCAGAAAGAATACAATCTAGGATCTTAAAATCTTGTCTTCAAACAAGTAGCCATCTTAAATGAGGAGGTGTCAGCTAAGTCCACACAGAAGGAGCACACCAGCCCATGTGATCCAAGGACTGTAAATAATAAAGTCCACAAACAGAGAAGGGAATTGCACTACAGCTTAAATTCTGTGTACCCGCATCCATACAATGGAGTACTACGCATGCCTAAAATGCAGCGACGAATACATGAAACCCATTGATGCATGGGAGGGACTGGAGGAAATCATGCTAAGCGAAGTAAGCCAAGCACAAAAGGACAAATACAACATGAGTCCACTGAGGTAAGCTTTAAAAAAAAAAAAAAAGCAGGGCATACAGGAAAAGCTACTATATACATACAACCCTAGGGTGAGATCCAGCAATGATGGCAGGGGCCAAACAGATCCAGGGATACATATGGCAGCCAACTAAATAAGAGGGGGAAATAAAGAGGAAGAAGGAAAAAAAACATGGGTGGGGGGAACAGGCATTAATCCACCCAAGGGGAGGGTATTATTTATATCTCCACAGGAGGAGAGAGAGACCAGGCTTCAACCCGATGTGCCAAGGCGTGAATACAACATACAGGCACGTACCAGGGAACCAATAGATCGGTCTGTGGGGCTGGCCCCAATCCCAACTATGTTGACACTCCCCGCCCCCTAAGAATAATGCACTTCAGAGGATAGCACTGGGGCCACAGCTTGGGGAGAGGGGCGTGTCTGATTAGAGCACACAGGAGAAATGCATGCAAAGGGCTGGAGAGGGAGGAGAGGTCATCCTGGCCCACCAAGCCCCAAGGACGATGTTCCTGCTCAGAGCAGCAACGCACCAGGAGGACCATAGGGCTGGCCCCACCAGGGGACACGTCATCCCTCACTGAACCATGACGCTGCAGGGCACAGCACTGGAAACACGGTGCGGGAATAGTGCACAGTCTGGCCCCATCACGCTGAGGCGAGGCACTGAGGGCATGCAGCAGAGCAGGGGGTGGGGGGTGGGGGGCAGAGTGAAGAAAACTCCAGGGAATACCAAAAATAGACTTAGGAGACAGAGTGTGGCACCCCATCAGACTCGACATGAAAACACTCTTAAAGGTCAACAAACAGACCTTGAATTATTTATAGGCTTTCCCATTTTTGTCTGTGGCTTTCTGTTGTTTTGTTTTTTGTTGTTATTTTTTGTTGGCGTTGACTTCCTTTGTTGTTTTATTTGGCTTTGCCCTTATTAATTTATCTTGGGAGACAGAGTATGGCATCCCATCAGACTCGACTGGAAAACACTCGTAATGGCCAACAAACAGACCTTGAACTACTTAGAGGCTTCTCCATTTTTATCAGTGGCTTTCTTTTTGTTATTGTTATTCTGTGTTTGTTTTTGCTGTTGTTATTGTTTTGTTGATTTTTACTTCCTTTGTTGTTTTATTTGGCTTCCCTGGTTTTTGCACTTATTAATGTATCTGCATGTCTATCTAGATAAGACAGTTGGGATAAATAATTCGGAGATGAAAAGAACGGGACCAATGGTTCCGGGTGGATACGGGAGAAGGGGAGGTGGGAGAAAGGAAGGGGGATGGGAGTGGGAACCAACCCAAGGACAAGGGAACAAGTGAACTAAAATCAATAGAAGGAATGTCGTAGGATGCCTAGTGGGGCTCAATCAAGGGCAATGTAGCAGCAAGGATTGTGAGAAGTGATGGAAGAACCCCCAATAAAAGTTGTTGTTTTTTAATTCGGTGTACCCGGTTTGCAGAAGGCGATGGATGACTGTGGAAGCTCAAATTCAATTGCAGAGTCCCACAAGGATTAAGTCTCCATTAAATTCCCTGGGGCCTCTGACCACAGATGTGAATGACCTTGCACTCAGAGAGTATTGGAAAAATGAATTGCTGCAGATATTGTTAGGCTAAAAATGGACATATTATCATTTGTTTTCTTTTTTGACCATTTTTTATTTGTTGTAGTTTTTGCTATCCTCTGCTTTCATTTGGATTGAGTTTTATCTGTATTCTATTATGCTGTTATTGTTGGAGTTTTTATATGACTTTCTTTATATGAGATCCAATATAGGTAAATCTATAGAAACAAACAATAATTCCTTGGGGTTATGGCAGAGGAGACTGAGGGGGGATAATAGGGTGCAAGAATGAAAAAAATGCTCTAAAATTGTGATGATTGCACAAACCCTTTTAATATATTTAAATTATTTATTTGTATAGCGCATGAATTTTAGGTCAATAAACTCATTTAAAAAATCAAATGCTGAAAAAACATAGTATTTGAGCACACATAGGCAGCAGTACTGAACTTTTTCAATGTTTAAATACACATATGTATTTAAAAAACAATAAAACCCGATTTCACTTAAGAACATCATTAATGAAGTAGCAGTTTGTTTTTATTAAATTTCAAACTTGAAGTACACATCTTTTTAATATTATGTGAAAATATAGGAAATACAAATAAAACACTTTAGCTACACAGTAAGATATGACTGCTGTCACAAAGCTACTTATGATTGAGTTGAGCTGAGCTGGCTGCTTTTCTTTGGAGCACCATTTCTACTTGAAAATATGCGTGTCACACAAAACTATCTATTCAGATTAGGGTACTTGATAGTTTCTTGAAAATAAGTGAAATAAATCTGTCACCTGATAAAATAAATAAGTGAAAGAAATCTATCTTCCACTGATAAAATTTGAACTAAACTATAGTTTTGTAAAATTTGCCTTTGTGAACCTAAAAGTACCGTATATACTCGTGTACAAGCAGAGTTTTTCAGCACAATTTTTATGCAGTTTTTGTGGTAAAATTAGGTGCCTCAGCTGATATTCGGTTTGGCTTATATAAGTATATGTGGTATTTCAATTCTTCAATGACTTTTCTGATGAGTTAGGTGGCAAACATTAGCAAAAGGAATTTGTTTATACTGTATAATTAAATGTTTCAACTGTGAAGACCTACAAGACCTACAAAAGTTGGAAAATTTTCCAATTGACCAATGTATGATGTTACAAAATCATACATAAGTAAAAGACATATTTAAAGGGCAAAATAAACCAAAGAATTTTAATACAAAAAAACACAAAGTTCATTAATAAGGTTTCAGATTTCACACTGCAATGAAACTTTAAAAAAGCACTACTTACAATAATACTTACAAAGCAATACATTGGAAGAATATGTGTTCACACTTATCTCAAAAAGATATTCAAATATTTCTCCCTTTCCCAACTACACGTACAAGCAGGTATTAAAAGCTTGTGGGAAAATTCTATTATCTTTTAACTTCACTTCCCCACAAATTTTTTGAAGGCCCTCAGATATATGAGACTGGATTTTCTTCATATATTTCAACCACAAACAAGAAAGCATTGTAGCCAGTTAAAGCAGATATGAGGATTCAATTGTGTTAAATTAAAGCAAATTTTAAAGAACCTTTTAAATATGTAAAACAATTGATTATTCTAATTTTCTTTTTGTAAACATGGTTATTTTTCTATAAATATACATCATGTTAACATTTTAATGAGTTTACTGTTGTTCTTTTTAAACGAATCCGCAAATTTCTTTATTTCTAAGTTTTAATATATGATACAGTAACTCAGTGACTACAATTGATCTAAACAAAAGCTCTTTGAGGGTCTCGATCATTCGTAAAGGGGTCCTGATATGAACTTTAAAGTCACTACACTAGAGGCACATAGGTAGAACAGAGTCCAGTCCATAAAAAGGGCTGCTTTTGAGATTTTCCAGAGTATCCTGGGATCATACCTGCTTGGCAAAAAATATTGTGTCAAGTCTGGAATCCTGAACCACAGAGCCTGCTGGTTCTTCTCCTGGCTGCCATTTGAAAAGAAAAATTAATCCATGAACTGGCCTACAAAATAAAATACAAATTAATGACACTAAACCCTACTTCTTTTATAACATGTAGTTAATACATTAAATTTTAGTCAGATATTTAACACATATAGAATGGTAAATGAAGTAAATTAAGTACTAAGTATGAAAACATTTTTGTTGCTATTGTCATTTATAATCACTAGAGTGCTACCTAAAATGAGGTTAATAACATTTGAGATTATATTAGTTAATATAGAATTATAACAAAAGTTTAATAGGGGATTCATTTCTAAATTATATTACATCTCACTGAGAAACAAAAAAATGGTAAAACTATGAAGCTATTAACCTTGTATTAAAATCTGCTATATGAATAAGGTTCACAGACGATGTTTACAGATAAATGGGTGATAGCTCATAAGTATTATTAAATATTATTAAATAATATTAAATATTATTAAACAATCTTCAAGCTATATAGTATGAATGGTTGTTCTCCTCTTATACGCGTTGTTAAACTAAAACATTAGATTACTACTTTATGATTTCCTCCACTCTGTCTCTCCTAATTTCACTTAGTGAAACTGTTATCTTTTTAGAAAATGTTTCTTTCATTAGCCTTCCCTGAACACTCAGTCAGAATCTATCTCATATTCCACCTAAAGTGATCCCTCTTTTTGTGAAGATGGGAGGAAGGAGTTATCCCTTCCTTACTATTAAAACGACTAGTTATAGCCCTAATGGTGCAGAGGGCTAGACGTTAGGCTCCTAACTGCAAGGTCCATTCAAGCCCATCAGTCACTGTGCGGGACAGACATGAGACAGTCTGCGCCCTATGAAACAAGGGCTGTCAGAAACCCCATGAAGCAGTTCTCTGTCCCGGAGTCAATGTGAGTAGGAAGCAACTCAACAGCAGTGGCTGGTGATGAAGGCAGTCAGAGCCCACCCTTTTCATTTTCAAAGATACCAAGAACTCCGCCACCATCAACTCCACTAGTCTCTCTTAGGGTCAATGGTGAGTGTAGGGAAAAGTGATGTTAGGAAGAAGCTTAAAAAGATAATTCTCATGAGAAAGATGGGAGAAGAAGGTACTTCCTGCATACACATTTGAAACTTGCAATGTAATTTCCCTAAGAAGCAATATAATAATGTGTAAACAATTTCTATATTACTATTAATATTCAGTATCTATCAAATGTATTTTGTAGACTGAGTTATTACATTTACGCTTAACTGTATGCCATGTTCTAGAACTACTGATAGACATATGATTTTTGTGAAAAAGCAACCAATTGGTATTTTGTGAGTATGAAGTTACAAAGGTTTAGGTTTGAATCCTCAACAAATTCCTTATCTAAGTACCTCAGGTTCTTGGTTATAAAATGTAGATAATAATACCTATCTCACAAGATTGAGAAAAAAACAAAAACCCTTGAGATAATTTATTGAACCTAAGAATATCCAAGTGAAATTAAAGCCAAATCTGAATAATCTTCCAGACCAAAAAACAAACTCACTTCCATTGAGTAGATTACAACTCATAGTGACGAGGGTAGTACTTGCCCCTTGGGTTTCTGAGACTTTCATTCATTATGGAACTAGACAGTCTCATGTTTCTCCTGCAGAAAAGCTAATGGATTTGAACTGCCAACGTTGTGGTTAGCAGTGCAATGCACAGCCCACTATACTACCAAGGATACTTGCTAAACTACGGATATATATATAGAAGCATACTAAGATTATACTTACTTTAACTTTTCAAAATTCTCAGGCTCCAAACTCCATATTTCTTCTACTTGGGTTCCTCGACAACCTATAATAAGAAATTATTTTCATCCGAAAAAAAAGCTTGTCTTTTCACTGTTAAATAAAATATTAAGGAAGAAAACTCATATTGGGGGCAGTAAGCATAACAATCTAAAACAGTGAAAGCTGATAAAAGTTCACAGCCAAATTCAATTACTTTTCTAATATTTTCTATTTATAATGAGTATATAACTTTAGTAATTTTTTAAATCCAAGAGCTTATATTTATACTGACTCTCAAACCCACCCACCCCACAACCCACCCATTCTGTCCTTAGTCCTATTTTTATCTTACTATAATTTTTTTTCACTCTCCTGAACCCCCTACATCCACCCTGCCACCCTGGGAAGGCAAATGGCTACTACTTAACAAGGACTTTAAAATCACATTTTAAGTTCAGATCCTTTTCTTAAAATTCCAAATCTCTATTTTCAACTACTTCATGGTCACCGGCATCATCCTACATCAAAATGTACTCTTCCTTTAAGAGAGTTGTTCTCAACCAGAGCAATTTCTCCCCAAAGGATATATTTGGCATGTTTCCGAGACATATTTTCTATTGCCTATGGGGAATGAAGTGGCTACTAACTGGCATCTACAGATTGAGACACAGGAGCTTATTTGAACATCATACATTACAAAAGACAGTCCCCATCAACAAAGAACCTTCTGGCCCAAAATGTTCACAGTGCTGAGGTTGAGAGAAACCCTGCTCTGAAAGAATCATACTAATGGTGTTGTGGATAAAAGTAAAGCCTCCAAACTGCCATGGTCAAATTCTGGCTCCTCCATTTACTAGCTACATATTATCTCATCTGTTTTTTCAGATCAGAGATGTTAGGAGGAATACGTCACATAATGCATGATACCCTAAATACAGGGACTGGCATACTCTGAATATTCACGACCACGGCACAAGACAGCATCACTATGTGTGAAATGCTTTAAATGATTTTTTTCTAATCTTTGCAAGACAGCGACTATAGAGAGGCAGTTAGGGATGTTACATGATTTACTAAAATCTACTATACCTAAAAACAAAACCTCACTACCATCGAGTCAATGTCGACTCAATAGCAACACTGTAGGACAGGGAAGAACTGCCCCTGTGGGTTTCCAAGAAATGCTTCATTTTCTGCATCAACTTGGTTCAGGTAGTACTCAGCCACTTAATTAAACATGATCTAGGTATTGCTATGAAGGTACAGTGAACCCTCGCCACTTCGTGCTTCGACTTCCGCGGCTTCACTCTATCGCGGTTTTTGCGTAACAGCGCATGCTCTGTCATTACTGCCACTGATTGGCTCATACTGTACACGCTTGATGCCATAAAAAATATAATAAATAATAAATGATAATTGTAACGTCCAAAATGTTTTACTGTATTTTCCCTTTTTCGTTTAATAAATTGGGTAATACGAGTGTAATGGTGACTAAAGGGTGTTTTTTCATGTTCTCTATGCTCTAACTACGAAAATATTTGATTTACAAATAAGGAATCCTACTTCGCGGAATTTCCTTTATCACGGTAGGGTCTAGAACCAATTAACCGCGATAAACGAGGGTTCACTGTATTTATAGTTGTGATTAACATCTGCAATCACTTAAGTAAAGAGATTACCATCGAGTAGTCCTCATCCATCCAGCTGAAGGTCTGGAGAACAAAAACTAAAGTTTCTAAAAGAAATGCTGCCTGAAACAGCACCATCAGCTCCTGCAAGAGTTCCCAGACTGCTGGTATGCCCTACAAATTTCAGACTTTCCAGACTCCACAATCATGTAAGTCAATTCCTTAAAACACTTAGGATTGATGTTTTTGTGTGTGTGTGTTTGAACTTTGATACAGATTTTGAAAAGAAAATTGTTGTAGAGAAACAGAATCTTTTCTAAATTGGTTATAAGGTTTCTAGAGTAGCTTATCATAGCTGATTAGAGGGCACTGTTCATAATATGATCAACAAAGATACACAAAATATTACCAATGGACACTCCTAATCAAATTCCCATGAGACTAGGTTCTGGGTGACAGTTTATGTGATACCTTATAACATTTCTGTCAGCCTAGCAAGTACTATTGATAGTGGTTGGTTTACTATAACTGTGCTAGAGAAACTAGTGAAAGAAAAGGTTAAGCTCAGGATCTCAAATTCTGAGCTCAAGTGCCACATAAGTAACTTAAATGTTTCCATATCTGCTTTGAAAGAAACTATAGCCAGGGTTGAGACTGTTGAAAAGCAAACCCAAGGTCCCATCCTGTGGATGGGTGGACTAAATGCTAACTGAAATCCCAACTTTGCAGGATATCTGTGTCAACCAATTAGAAAGAAAATCGTGAAGAAAAAAAAAAAGAAAGAAAGAAAGAAAATCATGACGTGTATGTGGGAATGAGGGCATTTGGATCTCAGGAGTACTCATGCTGTGGTGATTAAACACTCAGCAGCTAATACACAGGTTGGTAGGTGAAACCTACTAGCTTGCTCCATGGGAGAAAGGTGCAGCAGTTGACTTCTGTTAAGAATTACATTCATCTATAGAATCCCTATAGGGGCAGCTCTACTTGTCCTGATGGGTCTCTATGAATTTTATAGGACTTGACAACTCCTGAAGATGGCAACAGTGAACATCTAAATTATGCCTTTTTCACCAGTGAAAGCAGCTTGTCCACTATTTGAAGAGGTTACCCCACTTTTTATGAAGAAGCTATAAAGACCTCTCATGGGGACCACCCAAGGACTGATCTAGTGGTGGTTACACATTGAGTTGTTAACCACAAGGTCAGCAGTTTGAAACTACCAGCCACTCCACGGAGGAAAGATAATGAGCTTTCAATTCCCGTAAAGAGTATCTTTACTGAGGGTGTCTCAGAAACCCACAATAGGTGGTTCTACCCTGTGCTATAGGGTAGCCAGGAGTCAGAATTGACTCAATGTCAGTGAGTTTGGGTGGGGTGGGGACCCACTTGAAAAACATTGCTGATTCTCCTGGGGACCTACCCTTTAGGGCAGATATATAACTCACCTGAAATTGCAGCTATCTCCAAAAGATAGGGCATACAGTATAATTCATGAGGAGGTGCAGTAGACTCCTACAGAATAGCATGATTTTGCCAATGTACATCAATAGAAATTGGAAAATATATTTGGGTATGGATAGTAAGGGATTATGATGGAAGGAGTATAAAGTTGGATGGGGTCAAATGGACCCAGAAAGCAGATTCTGGATTCAATGTTGTAGCTTATGGAATTAGAAAGGACTCCAACAGCTTAGATGGTTGACTGAACATGGGCCAAAATGATGCTGTACTGCCCAAACTGCCTTGGCACACTGTTGAAGAAGGTAGCCAAAGGACGAGGAAGATAAGAATGTTATGGTGGATTCATCATGTAAAATTTAAACACCCATCCCAGAAGAGTCTAAAGATCAAACCTTTTACCAATCTGAAAGAAATAAATTTGTGAAGGAAGTCCCAGCAAGCTTGAGCTTTTTGGTCACTCTTCTCTGTAAGCCACAAATTGCAGTAGAGATTGTTGCTACTGCACAGAGATCCTTTAAAGGACTAAAGTGGTAGCACAAGATTAGCATGGTTACCTTAATAGACAATGGGTTCAAAACAGTAATCAGAATAGTCAGGTTTGTAATGACCTATCCATTGGCGAATTCTCTTGTCCATAGACAAGAAATAGATGGGAAGTCTACTAAGTTACTAGATCTGTATAAACAAAGGAGTTCTCAGTCAACAGAAATCTAACTTGAATCACCAAAATAGTCATGACCCTTTAATTAATTCCCAGACTTGAGCCAGTTTATAAACTGGCATGAACAGGAGGATGGGTGTCCTTGAGGAAAGACCTTGCTACACTGCCACAAATCTATAGTTAGTCTTTTTCTCCTATTTCCCAAAGGGATTTACAGCTTCCTAAGGAGGTGATTGTACACTACGGAAAGAGAAATAATCAAACGGTTAGGCCATTACTAGACATTGACTGTGAGCTATCATTAATCCTGAGAAATCCAAAATGCCGATGTGTCTCAATAGTCAAAGTAGGCTTATCGAGACCTGGTGATTAATGAAATTTTAGCTCAAGCTCATTTCAGTGGGTGAGATGGGTCTTATGGGTTTTCAGCCCCTTCTATGGTTATTTCCTTAGTACCAGAGAGCCTAACAATGGAAATACTCAACAGCTAAAAGAATCTCCAGATTGGTTACCCCATCTGTGGAGTATGGAATAATAAAGTAGGAAAGGCCAGTTAAACTCATTTATTAGAAACTAAACATTTAATCAATTACCTCCACATACAAGATTATCAACCAAAAATAGTATTACATTCTTGGAGGGGTTACACTGACTACTGTCAACATTGAGGACTGAAAGGATGGCTGCAAGGCTGGTGAATCTCACATCCCCATTAATTCACCTATGTGCTATATGCAGAAAAAAGTTCTTGGAGAATGAGAGGACTATAATAAACTTAAGCAGGTGGTGTCTCTAATTACAGTTGCTGTTGCACATAGAGTTTCCCATCTAGAGCAAATTAACCAGGGCTTCAAACTGGTTCATTCCAATTTGGCTTCCTGCTGAATATATACCCAAAATAAATTAAATCGGAATTTATATTTTAACAAGTTCAAAAGTGATATATAAGAATGCCCTGGAGACTCTATAAGAATTACTTGAAATCTTATTAAGTGTAGATTGATTCAGTATAACTGGGTAAAAATGTAATTCTCAGTAGGGAATCAAATCAGAATGATCTGGTCTGAAGCACTGAAATAAACTTGTAGTCTGGTACCTGTTATGCAGCTACTGATCTGGCAAACACTTTTTTCTGAATACTGGTTAGTACAGACTGCTAGGAGCCATTTGCTTATCTGGCAAGGCCAGCAATGCACTGTAACAACTCTCCAGCCCTATGTCATAATTTAGTGTGCAGAGACCTTGATCACCTTTCCCTTCAGAAGTCATCACACTGATGGCAGTATGCTGACTCGGCCTAGTGAACAGTGA